TTATGCAAATTTAGCAGAAAGGATAACAACAGGGAGTGCAGAAACAGTGTGTTTCTCCGAGGTTCAGTACAGGCATAAGATGTGACCACATGCTTGGTCTAATGTTTTTCAGAGGTGTAAATATAAGATTAAATATAAATGTTGATCCCTACATTCAGCATTATCAATTAAAACAATATATATATAGTTATGCATTACTAAGTAATTAATTACTATAATTTTTCCCTTGTGAAAGTAAGGGATTACTTTACATTTTTCTGTAATTTAATTAGTTACTTCTGATGTAATTGCATTAAATACAGTATAGAACAATTCTATATAAAACAATAATGGATTTAACATCAAAATTTAACATCTAGTGTTAAAATGTATGTTTTTAATGTATCCTTCTCTCTTTAAATACTTCGGTCAGTTCAAGAATAATTAATGTAGTTTTATATTATTTATTTGAAAGAATTAAAAGAGCCGTTTCATCCTTGCATTGTTCAGCTGGTCGAGGTTGATATGCGACTTAGAAAGTAATAAGTAATACAATACTTTTTAGAGAGAGTAATTAGAATAGTAATCTAATTACACTGTTGAAAATTAGTAGATATAATTAATTACTTTTTAAAGTAACTTACCCAACACTATATATATATATATATATATCCTGATAATCACTTAGTAATACCATAGCAACCCACAAAGCACCCTAGTAACCATACAGATACCCAAAAGCACCATAGTAACCACCCAGCAATGCCCTAGCAACCACCAAATCACCCTAGTGATCTCTTAGTGATGCCTTAGCAACCCTAGTAAAAAGCACCTGGAATATTTAAATTACCAGTTCATGTTAGAAAGTTTGTGCAGCACCCGGGGAAAACTGTAAAAATAGTAACACCCACTTGAACCAAAGTGCAAAGATTGAATTCAATTCATTGTGTTATTGTGAAAACTATAAAAACTATATTTGCTCTAATTTCAAAATTAAGTGAAATATTTATTCCAGTAGCATAAAGACATAATGAGGACGTAAAAATGTACAGCATAACATGAACGACCCATTCCATCTTGATTTTTTTCTTTTCTTTTCAAGCAGTCCAACAGGTGTCAACAGTCAGCTTTAGGCATGAAATTACAATCAAATCATTTACACTGCAATGCATGCACATACACAATCCAAAAAACGCCCACATTACATGTTTACATCTCATAAAGCTCTGAGCATATTATAAAAGTTGACCTTCACTTTTAATTCCATGTTGCATGTCATTAGCACCGTTACTTGACAGTGCAAGTCCCGTTATTTAGACTGTAAACCCGTGATTGATAGTGCGCGAGACTGTGGAGTCTGTGGGCGGCGCGTGAACGCAGCGTCTCTCCTCTCGCGCGCTGTGATCGTACAGTGAATGAAGCTCTAGAGTGGGAAAGACGAGCAGGATACGCGAAACACTGACATGGATCCACTGTAACATCACTGCAATAGCTCTTACTGCGTTCTCAATTGATCAGCGTTCACTCCACGTCTAACTCGAGCGCATTTAAAGCCTGAAGACGATGCGTTTGATCACAGCCAAATCACACCTGTTCATCGCGCAGCTGTGGCTCATCTGTCACACAGGTATCAAGTAAATACAGTCCTCAGTGATGGATGTGTCTTCTTATATTTTATGTGTTTTGGGCATCAATGCATTGATGCGTAAAGTTGCATGTATCCAAAAAGCTTTTATGAATTTATTATTGATGAATGCATTATTTTTGATGAAAGTTTAGGTTATGGCGTTTAATCTCAGTCTGTAAGACAAAAAGCACTGCAATAACTGTTGTGAATATCTGATAAGTGAACGGATCAAAGGTTCATTAATCTATTTTAGTGGAATTAGTCATGCAATCAATTAATAAATTATATATATATATATTATTTATTGTAAATTTTTACACTTGTTTTAGATTTGTTGTATTTTATCTCAGTCCTATATGACAATGCTTTAAAATATATTAGGCTTGAAGACATTAGAATGTCTTCTGTGTGAATAATGCAAAGTTTTATGAATCTTTTAAGTGATTTGGTACTTTATATAGTTCAGTCGAATCATTATATTTTGCCTTATTTGTGGTTATTTGCGTGACTTTTTTGGTTATTACAAGTTTGTAGTGTTTTTGTATATATATATAAAAAACAGCATTACAATATTAGATTTTTATAAATAAACATGAAGTGTACTGGTTCATGCAGGCTGCCTAAATGTGATTTCCTTGCTGTGCACTTAGTTGAATTTCTATTGGATGCTGCATAATATTTAGTTCAGTTTCACTCAAGGATGTTTCAGCTGTAGGGCAGACTTTGGCTCTTTGCTCTTGGCACTCAATCACCGATATGATGGTCTTTCAATCTCTCTGTCTCTGTTCATCCTGCTGAATTAAATGTAATTTGACATGGTGGGGGAATATAAAGCTGTGTGTTTTTGACTGCATGTGTCTTGAGCCATCTGCATCTCTGATGCCCTGCATGCTGGCACATCAGAGGTCTCTTTTGCTCAAAGTTGATCTCAGAGCTGTCACAATGCACCATTGTCCTGTCTATTTCAGTCTAAAATGTTGCTGATCTTACTCCGAAGCATTAGTTATTCCCTGTCTGGGAGTTACACGGGCATCTGTGCTGTCACTGATGTGTGTTGGAGATTTGCAGAGTGCTGGTGCATGTTACACTCTGTTGTTGGACGTGATGGCAGGGGAAGTTCGTTTTTGTGCTGCTTTTGTCTCAGTGATGCTCATTCACCATTACTGCCAGCAGCAGGAAGAGAGAGAGAGAAAGAGAGAGAGCTTCTGCCCACCAAACACATGATTGATCGATTCACACCAGGGTCACTCTGCCATGCATCCAAACAAAATAACCACAGCATGGGTGGCGATCAAGAAAATGTGGTTTAGTTTCTCTTGATCAAATGACTGACAGTGAAAGATTGATTTTCATTGATTCGCCTGCACAATCCAAAGCATTTCATTATTAGACGTTATCTGAAAGTGACGGGCATTACAATCAGTTGTCACACTTTGTGACACAAACTGTAATATATAATTTAATATTGCATACTAGCTTTGATTCCCATTTATTATCAATTAAAGTAGATCATAAAATATGCCATCTGTAATAGTTTGCATGTGTTGCAGCTTGTAGTGATTTGAACAGATAACAATATCTCCTTTAGGAATCAGTTTCTTTTATATAAAAAGAGTTATTGGAGATTTTGCATGCTTCATCATAAGCCTGCATAAAAAGCTACTGTTCAGACCTTCATGGACTTTGGTTTGTTGGTATTTGGCACCAGAAGCCTGAACGTTTTTCCAAAGTTACTTGATACCCAAGAATGTTCAGAGAGGACTTATTTAATACATGTAAAGTGCAAATTTGTACACGATTTTTCCTGTTTTAATCATCTACATTTCTGGTTCTCAACTGGTGGTTCATGACCCCAAAATACTAAGTATATGCACATTAAATGCATAAAATGATCATTTAACTAATTATATAACCATTCATAGCTAATTGCAAAATAAATGGGTATAACGAATGTTTAAAGTAGCAAACACTTCTCAGATTTTTGTTATTAATGTCAAAGGCTGTGCATCCAATCAAATGCACTGTAAAAAATATGATCAGTAAAACTTCTAGTAAAACTACTCATCAAAATAAGTTAAGCAATTTAGTTATATGAGATTCAACTCGATTTTTTTAAAGTCAGTTAAATATAATTTAAGTTAAAATGACTTAAACAACCAAGTTGATTATGCTTAAAAATTGAAGGCAGCGACTAGACTTAAGTTTTTTAAGTTGAAATAGTTGGAAATGCAGTGTGGCATTTTAATGCAAACTGCTGTCGTTTGGTAGAAGTTTGTCAAATTAAACAGGTGCATCAGGGACAGGTTATGTGACCTGAAAAACCAACAAAACTAGACGACGTAAAAGAAAATACAACCCAAAATACATTTAAATATAAGTCCACTCACAATGAGGATAAAAATGGCTTGCCGACCACAGTGTGTTTTTTATGGGGTGAATTATTCATGACAATAAGAGCATGAAGCCATTTAAATTTAGGAGACGTTTAGAAATCAAAATGATTAATTTCCTTATTCCCCCTGTGTTATGTTAATCATTTTGCGAATTATTGGGCCTGTGGATTTCCTGAAGCCAAACCCTTTAAGAACCATTGCTCTATATATACTTTTTTCATAAATAAATAAATCCGTGTTAAATCCACATGAATTATTGACGATTATGGTCTATTTAAAATTCAGCAGCCGTACCCTATTTAAGCATAAAAAACAACTCCGCTGAGTTTTGTATACTGGGACATGAATAAGTGAGATTGCCTGGAGTGTGTTACGTTAAATCATGTCCTTCTGATTTCTGCAGTGAGACACTGAATTCACCTTAAACTCACAGGGCTAACTGTGCATCTCATTACAGGTCCGAGTCCAGTCGGATAATGAGCGTCACCAGCGCAGACTCGTGTCTGTTGAGCACTAAACAGCTCCAGTTCAATGCCAGCGCCTGTCTGTGCCTAATGCAGCCTCAGGAAATATTGCTTGTACTGTTATGTCATCCTACAAATGGAGACTTACGTAATGAACAGAGGTATTCTAAATATTAAATGTGCATTGGTTTTAATCGACCTCAAAAGTTGTGTGCTGAAACTGATGCCATTAGTTTAGGAAAGAGCATTTTTATAGCTTGATACAGTAATATCTATACAGTATCTCATTTAAAGGAATGGTTCTCCCAAAAATGTACCCATCCTCAGGCCATCCAAGACGTAGATGAGTTTGTTTGTTCATCAGCTTTTGGCTTCACAAGATGTTAACTGATGGACTGGAGTGGTGTGGATTACTTGTTTTTATCAGCTGTTTGGACTCTCATTCTGACGGCACCCATTCACTGCAGGGAATCCATTGGTGCACAAGTGATGCAATGCTGAATTTATCCAAATCTGATCTGATGAAGAAACAAACTCATCTACATCTTGGATGGCCTGAGGGAGAGGAAATTTTCATTTTTGGGTGAACTATTCCTTTTCCTTGGGTCAAAACAACGTACTAGCTGTTCATTCTGGTCTAAAACATTCTCCAGAGAAAAGCTATTCAGTGTTGGAGAAATACAATCTCCTGTAAAGAGGACCTTGTATTCAGAACAAATGGCTGACACTGAGATGGCTAGCCATCTTAATTCCATTCAATTTCCATTGCATTTTTTTCTAGTGGATATTTACACCATGCTGAGTATCATTTTCCATTGACTGAGGTTGGTGTTTGTGCATGTGGACGTCGATCTAAAGAGCTTCTTAAGCCTTTTGATGTAAAATTCATTAATTGCATGCTTCTCATGTGAGAATATGAGACTTTATTCCTGAGATATAAGTGCAGTTTTTGTAACCATTTATTAATTAGATTTATTGCAAAATTTTACACCTGTCACAGGCTACATGCTTAACTTAAGCAGATTTCTTTCTTTTTATTTTCAGTCCAAAATAGTGTTGAAATTCTGAGAGAAGATTTGTTATTAAAGCCTATTTCTCGATTCTCTCCATAAGCATCTTCAGATATTCTTCTTATCTGTAGTCTGTATGTTTAGAGAGGAGACATAGAACTGGAGAAGCCGTGAAAATGAGGCTGTACTCTGAAGGAAAAAGCAAATCACTTGCTCTTGACCTCAGGATGTGGAGCTGGAGCTCTAGTAAACCGCTGACAGTGTGCTGAACTCCTAAAAGGCAGCGCTCTGGCTTTGGCTCAGTCCAGCGGATGGACAGTGAGGCGAGGAAGGAAAGCTTTCCCCTGTTAAAGAAAAATGGAGCATTCGGTTGCCTTTCTGAGTCAGATCTGACCTGGTGTCCGTGGTGATTGGGGAGGCTGTGGAGGAAGTCCTGGTGGCTGAACGCCACCGGAGGATCAGTCTGTTGTCAAGGAGTTTCCTCTGGAATGTCCTAAGAGTGAATGGAGAGCGTCTCCTGCTCGGATGTGCTGTGACCAGCACTGTGTATATTATATCGGTGTGTGTTCTCAGTCATTCGCTCTTACACTCCTAAAAATAAAGATTCCGGAAGTGGATTTTCACAGTGATGCAACAGAAGAACCATTTATGGTTCCTCAAAGAGTCTTTCAGTGAACAGTTCTTAAAAGAACCTTTTTTGAACATTTCAATAATCGAAAGAACCCTTTTCTGCTATAAAGAACCTTGAAAGATTCCATGGATGTTAAATGTTCTTCATGGAGCTATAGATTTCAATAAAGAACCTTTATTTTTAAGAGTGCATGATAGTAACATTAGTAACATCTTTTTTGCTGTCAAGTTTATTTACTATAGTTATATTTACCTATAGGTTGTACATTAAATGATTTGGACCACATCAGTCAATGTAGTCGCACAGCACAACCAAGACATAAATATTTATGTCCTAGAAAGATGCAGAGTTATTAATAGTGTTGCAAACATCACTACTATTGCACATACCAGGAGGTTACTGATTTATACAAACACATAACTCTAAGTATTACAATATTTTGGTGCAAAACTTCCCATACCGCTTGTTCAGCAGATAAAGGATTAGGTTGACTAGTTTATCT